GCGTCAATATCAGCTGAACATTACTGATTGGTAAAGTATTAATAAACACTAGGAGATCAATTTATTATATCGTGTGCACTGCAGTGTAGAACAATGAGCTTATGCTGTCGCTTTTGTTTAGGTGTTCATGTGGGAATTGTCAGCCGATGCAGGGTGGAGGCGGTGGAGCGGGTGAGGGTGCGAAGCGCTTTCTACTATATCAAACGCATCATAGGTGTATCTGTTGCGTCATCGTTGTAGCAGCTTTAGTTCGTTGTCACGTGGGAGGGTGGCAGAAATACACTGCAATTTGTTAAAAATAACAAAATCAATCAAATCAATCTAAAAACCACTTGGGCGACATATACAAGGCCCACACATCACTCTTAGACGGTAGAAAACTCTGAAAAGTTGATTTTGCATGAGATGGGCCCTTTAACAGTTTTGTCAGCCTCCACAAGATATCACAATAAATATCATAGCGTGAGGTTCAAACTGTGACGATATCGAGACTTGGATATCGTTACAGTCCTAGTATTTATGTTAATTGTCAGATTTGTTGCTGTTGTCTAGTGTGAGGAGTTTAAAACACAGTGGAGCACTTGCTGTATTACCACATGACATCACAAGGTGGAAGAGTGTTTTTAGCTTTAGAGAAGAACTCAGCCTAAATCTGCAGGATTTCTGAGTTAAACGTGTGGATGAAACAAAACACAACTCCAGGTGTGTTTGTGATGAGGAAATATTATAATAGATCATAAAACAGTGTAATATGGGCCCTTCAGTTTTATCTGCTGCTACTGTATAAACATGAACACAATGCCTCCTGACGCTTCCTGACCTATAAACCGGGACGAGGGGGCTTTTTTTACTCTCACACACCTGGGATACTGTCCTGAGGAAGACGGACTGCAGATGGCGCTGTTGTCCTGCCTCCACCGGTAGGAAGACAGCGCCAAAAACTGTTTAAATCAGCTGAGCGACACGACACAACAACATCACGTGACTCTGAGGAAGAGCGCAGGAAGCAGAACAAACTGTCATGTATGAAAACAAACTCTTGGTCTGAAAAAAGAACCTAACTAGAAAAGCACTCAGAGAGCGCAGACTTCAAGACCCAAGGACTACCCCCATTTTTCATATAAATTGCGATAAAATCAGTCTTCTGGATCAGATCCGGATCAGCCTTTGGAATATGAAAGAGGATCCCATTGTCCATCCCTGAGTCAAATTTCATGGGGTTTGGTCCCATTTACCACAATGTTAACTAAAATTTCAAAGTGATCCAGAATCCAGGATTTCTTCCGGATCACCCCCAAAATGAAATCAGTTCTTCCTTTTCACATTTCCAACAAATCCTGAAAATTTCATCAAAATCGGTCCATAACTTTTTGAGTTATGTTGCTAACAGTCAAACAAACAAACAAACAAACAAACAAACAAACAGACAAACGCCGGCAAAAACATAACCTCCTTGGCGGAGGTAATAACATAAATTATCAGAAGACCAAATGAACCTCATTGGACTAGCTCTAACTAATTTAATGCTTTACGCTTTAAGCCATGTTCTAATGTTGTTACCTCCTCAAAAACACACCTGGAGTTGTGTTTTGTTTCATTCTCACATGAATAATCATTTATCCTTTACTCTGTCTACATCTCCAAAGCTCAAAATGCTCTCTTCCACCTTGTGATGTCACCTTTTACCTTTTCTTCAGGACAGATTGGAAATTCCAGAGCTGAAATCATCCAAATGATTCTAGTGAAGGTGCATGGAGTTTTAAAACACATTGGAGCACTTCTTTTTTGTATTACCACATGACATCACAAGGTGGAAGAGAGGGTTGGTCAGTTTAGAGAAGAACCCAGCCCAAATATGCAGAATTTGTGAGTTAAACATGTGAGAATGAAACAAAACACAACTCCAGGTCTGTTTGTGATGAGGAAATATTATAATAGATCATAAAACAATGTAATATGGGCCCTTCAGTTTTATCTGCTGCTCCTGTACCGAGAGCTGATAAGCCTGAACACAATGCCTCCTGACGCTTCCCCAAACTGTAAATACAAATGTTATACTATAGCCAAAAACAAAGGGCATGGAAGTGGCCTGGACAGTAGCCGCATCCACCAATAAAGCCAAACAGAAACACTGAATTGGACTTTGCCATGTTCCATAACGCCATAAAACAAATGTATCTTTTTAATCTGCAGTTAACTGTTTGTGAAGGGTTTATGGGATGGAGTCAGGGATCTTTTTGCAATTCATGGTGCATTGTGAAACTATACCGGAGGCTTGTTTCTATGGACATGTCACTGCTCTGGAATGTTCCACAGTATGACTTTAAACAGCTGTATTTTACATTTATTCAATCACAGGCTCAAAAATACCTAGAAAAACAGATTCTGACTGTGATCGGGGTCACCTCTGCACAGATCTGACCTCTAACTTGGTCTGGTTTGGTCTCCGTGTAGATAGAAAGGTTTAATGCCGTACTGTGAAACATTCAAGACAAAACAATAACAATAAACACATGGAGTAAAGCTTTTGACGGACTCTCCACCAGAAAAGCTACACAATGCACTGTTTTTTTCTTGACAATGACCATGAAATAGGTCTGTTGAGACTTTAATTCGATGCAAAATTAACTCAAACTATGTTCTTAGATTCTTTATTAAGACCAAGTTTGTTCTGCTCCCTGTGGTCGTCCTCAGAGTGGTCATGTGATGTTGCCTTGTTGTGTCCAGTCAGCCGATTTAAACAGGTTTTGGCACTGTCTTCCTACCGGTGGAGGCAGGACGACAGCGCCATCTGCAATCTGACAGTATCCCAGAGGTGTGAGAGTAAAAAAGAGGCAATCGAAATATGGAAACGTGCCCACGGGATGATAAACCGGGACGAGGGGGCTTTTTTACTCTCACACACCTGGGATACTGTCCTAAAGAAGTGGGACTGCAGATGGCGCTGTCGTCCTGCCTCCACCGGTAGGAAGACACAACAACATCACGTGACTCTGAGGAAGAGCGCAGGAAGCAGTCGAAACTGTCAGGTATGAAAACAAACACTTGGTTTGAAAAATAACCTAATAACATAAATTATCAGAAGAACAAATGAACCTCACTGGACTAACTCTTTACTAACTTTACGCTTTAAGCCTTGTTAGAATGTTGTTACCTCCTCAAAAACACACCTGGAGTTGTGTTTTGTGTTTTGTTTCATTCTCACATGAATAATCATTTATCCTTCAGTGTTGGGGAGTGACAGATTACATGTACCGGAGTTAAGTAATCAGAGTACAAATTATGAGTAACTGTATTCGGTTACAGTTACTGTTTTAATGAGTGGTAATTGGATTACAGTTACTTTGTTGAAGTAAGTGGATTACACGGCAGTATTTACCTGTTTTCACATTTCGAGCTATATCCCTTCCCCCCCGTAAGTCCACTCATTGCCGGACACTAAACCAGGTCCAAACCAAGTCTAAACCAGGTCTAAAACCAGGTCTAAAACCAAGTCTAAAACCAAGTCTAAACTCGGTCTAAACCAGGACTAAAACCAGGTCTAAACCAGGTCTAAAACCAGGTCTAAACCAGGTCCAAACCAAGTCTAAACCAGGTCTAAAACCAGGTCTAAAACCAAGTCTAAAACCAAGTCTAAACGAGGTCTAAACCAGGACTAAAACCAGGTCTAAACTAGGTCCAAACCAGGTCTAAATCAGGACTAAACCAATTCCAAACCGGGACTAAACCAGGACAAAACCAGGTCCAAACCAGGTCCAAACCAGGTCTAGACCAGGACTAAACCAGGACTAAACCAGGACTAAACCAGGTCTAAACCAGGACTAAACCAGGTCTAAAACCAGGTCTAAACCAGGTCCAAACCAGGTCTAAATCAGGACTAAACCGGGACTAAACCAGGACTAAACCAGGACTAAAACAGGACTAAACCAGGATTTAACAGGATTAAATCCTGCTGTGTGGACCGTGTCTCCTCGTCTTCTATCAATAATATTTTTAATACGGTTCAGTAAAGTCTGGGCTTTTTATTTTCTTTTATCAGACAAAACATCTTGTGAAGATTTCCTCGTCTTTGCTTCTCTACAGCAAATCAAGTAATCCAAAGTATTCAGATTACGTTACTCACTTTAAGAAATGTTATGGATTACAAACTACATTTTGGGGTTTGTAATCTGTAATCTGTAGGGGAATACATTTTAAAAGTCACATTCCCAACACTGTTATCCTTTACTCTGTCTACATCTCCAAAGCTCAAAATGCTCTCTTCCACCTTGTGATGTCACCTTTTACCTTTTCTTCAGTACAGATTGGAAATTCCAGAGCTGAAATCATCCAAATGATTCTAGTGAAGGTGCATGGAGTTTTAAAACACATTGGAGCACTTCTTTTTGTATTACCACATGACATCACAAGGTGGAAGAGAGGGTTGGTCAGTTTGAGAGAAGAACTCAGCCTAAATACATGGAATTTGCGAGTTAAACATGTGAAAATGAACCAAAACACAACTCAGATTTAGTTTCAAATATAATATATAATAATATAATATAATATAATAAATATAGTTGTTTCTAGATGGTGTAATCCACGCTGTTCTCCAAGACACAATATAAAATGATAAGAGTTACTTCAATGTCAACAGAATCAAACACAGAAAAAGTCAAAAGTGAGTAGCTACTTGCGTTTGTTTCAGAATGATCAAGATTTAGAAGTATTTTTATCGTGATTTACAGTTTAATATGTCTTGAATAGGGGAAAAAAGTTCACATTTAACAAAAAAACTATCCAAATCTGAAGCAGGACTGCAAGAGAAGAGGCAAATGTGTTGATGTGAAGTGAGTTTGCCAAAGCTAGACTACGGGTTCATTAGCTAAGTGTGCGCGACAAACAACTGCCAACGAGCCTATAAAAACATCCATCAATAAATAAGAGCTATACGAGTTTCATTTACGGGAGAAAACACGCAAAAGCTGCAGCAATTACCCTGGAAATGCTCGATTACTTACGCGATTACAGAGTGGCTCCATCTCTTCAGAGGGAACTGCATCTCCCCCCGAACGAAAGTCCCTCCACGGTCAACGCTCCAGCCCACTGCTCGTCTGTTTGTACCCCGCGCAGAGTGATTCGTTTCGGGGTTGAGTTGTCTCCTCTCCCGTTACTCGGAGGTGCTTTGCATGTGCTTCTTTCTCGCTCCAAACGCCGCTCTGGGTCGCGCGTCTCTCCTCCAGGCTCCAGCTGCTCCTTGTGGGAAAGTTGGTCAAAAAATGTAAAGCGATGTTCGTTCTTAAATGAGAGGAAAAAAGGCGTAATTAGCTGTAAGGTTTTCCCTCCTCTCCTGCTGGTTGGTGCCGGCGTGTCTGCCTTACTCTAGCCGGCTCGCGGTGCCTCTCAGCGGGGTAAGCTCCGCCGTGTTCCGCTACAAGTTACGGCTCGTCTGCGCGCCTCTCTCCAAACGCTTAAAAACATTAAAAAAAAACAACAGTCTCCGGTTCGCGTGTTCAGAGCCGGTAAACCCCCGTGTTTCTCTCCCCCGTGCGCGCGGTGCTCAGTGGGGAAACGCGTCGGTCCTGTCCCGCTGTTGGACCATCACTGGAGTCCGCCTGAGCCAGCAGAGGCGCAGAGAGAGTGTGAGAGTGTGCTTGGCGCAGCCTGGAGTCACTGGAGGGGGATTTATTACGTGCTGAGCAGCTGGCTCCTTGGGTAGGGCCGGGGCCGGGCGCACATGCCTCCGGTCACTCATTCCAAACTGTGGCGCACGGACCACAGGTGGGTCACTCCAGGGCTTCATTAGGCCGCCAATTATCGCTGCGAGGAGTGACGCGTGTAAGAGTGACAACACAGTAATTCAGCATGGGGTCTTGTTACAGTAGTTTATGTTTCAGGTCTAAGCCAGTGTTGAGTGGTACAGATCCAAAGTAAGAGGCTAAAGTAATCAGATTACATCTTAGTAATGCAGTAATGTAACAAGTTGCAAGGTGTTGTTCTGGTGGAGTGTCTGTCTTCTTGAAGATGTTATTGCTTTGTCTTGATTGTTTCACAGTATGGTATTAAACCTTTCTATCTTCATGGAGACCAAATCAGTCAAAGTCACAGGTCAGATCTGTGGAGAGGTGACCGCTCTTACAGTCAGAATGTCTGTTTTTTTATGTATTTTGAGCTATAAAACCAGCTGTAAATGAATAAATGTAAGGTAGAGTTGTTTAATGTCATACTGTGGAACATTCCTAACTCCGCTCAATTTCATTTCTCTCCAGCAACTAGGTCAGGAATCAGAATACACTAGACGGTTCGCAAAAACTCTGAAGTGCAAGTTCGGGCACCAGCCAATCAGCAAAGAGCTGTATATTCTGTTTTGGCAACAATTCCTGAGATTGAGGATTTAAATCCAGAACAAATAGAATGTTTCTTATTGTCCTTCTTCCTACGGGATTTTGAAAAAGCTTAATATACCAGTTTGCCCCATTAGCACCGCATTACATACGTCACGACCAAAAATCAGTGATTGGTTACATAAAAAAAGTACCCGCCTACCGTTGAGCAAACGAATCCTAACGCTGTGAGGTCAGACAGTTTCTACAAAGTGAAACCGACTGATGAATCAGACCAGAACATTCCAAGCAGAGCAAAAATATCTCCAAGCAAACAAGGTGACGGACCCTCAACCAGAAAGTTACACAGTGCACCTTTAAATAACTGTTTAATGAGTGTTTTTTTTTATATAAGTTAGTTCCTGAGCTGCATGTTTCCTTCTTTCTTCGTCATAATAACGTTTGAAAGGGTGCCTGTAGGATCTTTTGGGAAGGTACACACAGCCGAGTGAGTGACAAACCCTCCACTCAGTCTGCACACTTACACCTGACGCACCTGACGCACCTGTCGCACCTGACGCACGGGGCTGTGGAGGTCTGCGTCTCATCTCCACCTCATGTACGCAGTGTTTCATTCAGTCTCCCGAAGAGTTCACTTCAATCTGACTGAATAAGTTTATGTGATGTTCTCACGTTGTTTCGGATTTCCCACTTCATGCACAGTGAAATAAAACATGTGATTACGCGGAGCAGGTACGTGTCCCGACAGAGTCCTCAACGCTTTCACTGCGATCACTGGCAGGAGAGACGTAGACTGGTTATTGGATGTGCTTAGAGTGGTTATCGCGGCACCCTCGGGACTGGTGTTTGGGCGACACCGTGAAAAGAGTCTGTGCTTCATAAAAGTCTCACTGTACACGCACATTTAAAACCAGCCTCCAGGGGGCGCTGTCTTGTGAGCCCCAGTCAGATAGAACAGGTTTGAATAGTTTTACAGCCCTGTCGTCAGTAAAGAAGAGACAGTTTGGACAATAATTGCTGTCACTTCTCCATGTGTAACTTCAGCTATGAGGCTCAAAGTGGAGGTAGACACATGTGGACCACTGCAAGCACCAATGACTTTTAGGTTATGTTTACACTGAAACTAATCACCTTATCGTAAACAATTTGCATCCAGACACATCGTTTCTGTCCACACAGTGCTGCACATATTTGTTTACGTTTTATAGCAATGAAACTTAAAACCACATGACTCATTTGCATAAACTAAACAATCATAAAAAACAGATCACTCCTTGTACCCAGACACGGAGGACACAACTCAGTGGAATCTGAGTGTTCTTTCTGTGACAGAGGGGTGTTCTGCTAATGGTGAGTCTGTTCTGTGTAAGTAGTTCTAGCTCCGCTGTTTCCCGTTTGTCTATGGTTTGTTTAAACTGTTTTCCGCACTAGCGTCACATGACCGAACGAATCAGGAAGGCGCAAGTCACAGCGACGCGGTCCAATAACGACGGCGACTAGAGCTCCTACGTCAGCGTATCAACGTTTTCAGGCGTCCACACAGTGCCAGTGAAAGATATTGACCCCGGGGTCAACACACCGCATAGTAAAGTGACCGCCTTATAAGATTTTGACTCCCCTTACTTTTTTTTTAATAGTTACTTATCTGATCATTATTTCTCATGTCATTTACTTTTATTATATATTGCTACATATTCATTTTCTTTTAAGGTATTTTAAGGAATGTTTTGATAAATAACAACTTGGTATTTTGTGTAAATGTAACGTATTGTTCAAATCTTGTCACTTTTTATATTGTATTTGCATTGTTATGGTTTTTAGTTTGCTACGTTTAGATAATCCTTAATCATAATGTCAATTTAGGCAATGGTTTGTAACGATAATGATCTTGAATTTAATCATGTTGTGTTATTAAATCTTCTCATATCCCCTATTTAACTACACAACTGATCAGCTCTGTCTATTTTAACAAGATTCCAAATCATTATACATCACTTTGATTAACTAACTCATTAATAACTACTTATCTCATTTTCAGTCAAATATGTGTTTAAACAACTAAGTCATTTTTAACATTCAAAAGTTAAAATCGACATAAAAAATTTATCTGAGTTCTTCAAAAACACTTTTAAAATGTCAATATGTTTTAATTTGCAGATATAGTATTCATATTAAAAGTTTTTCTATAGAATTCAAGTTCTTTATTAATAAAATATAGATTTTCATGGGGGGGTCAACATACCATAATAGGATTCTGACCTGAAAATACTATATGGTACGATGAGTCCAGGGTCACCACACCGCGGGGTCAAAATCCTATACCACACCGGATCAGATCTGTACTCTAAACTTGAACTAAGTTTGTGGGAACTGGCGGCACTAGATCATTCCGTCTCTGGAACCGTTTTCAGTCGGATTAGTGTGAACAAACACTGCATCCACAATGAAAACTGTCTCGAATACGTACTAGTGTGGATGGGACCTTGGCTTTATAGTTGCTTCTTTGGAAATGGATATGTATAATGCTGCGCTCTAGAATTCAGAATATATCACCATGAAAACAAGCAGTTGGCCGACCCTCCACCTGGAAATTTACACATTGCACCTTTAGTGTTTTGCCATGAGAACTTATAAATAATAATACAATTATTACCACAGCGGATCAGATCTGTACTCAGACAAATTTGTGGGAGCTGGCGGCACCCGATCGTTCCGCCTCTGGAGCTGTTTTCGTGTGCATCCGCAACGAAAACGACTCAAATACGTACTATTTCGATGGGGTGTTAGAAGCAGTGAGCAGTCGTCATAACAGTAATCACCAAATATAAAGTCATTTGACTGAAACTGATGTAAGGCCAAACAGAGAGTTTACACTGTCTGGATCTTATTTGTTCATATTGAGTGTTGTAAAATGCTCTATAAAGACAGACTACCTTTACTTTACTACTACCTTTACTACTACAGCAGCTCCACTATTCAAGCTCAGAGAAGTATGTATTTAAATGATATCCAAACAGAGTGAAAAAGATCTTAAAACTGCATCTTGTATCCCAGATAAACAGGCACATCCTTGGTAATTGATTGCATCTGTAATTACAAAATTATCACTATTTATTAATATTTTTTGTTTGTTTGGGTTTTGTTGTTTGCTTATAATGAGTGGAATACTTGTCATGGAATTAAACGAATCAATTTCCATGTCTTTTTGTACTTGTTTTTCTCATTTCCACTTTTGCGTCCTCTGTGCGTCCAGCGAAACAGGGGCCATGTTTTGAGGTCTCATTTTCCTAAAAGCACAACATGCTGTGACACATCCAGCTGCAGCTCGCTCACATTTTCCTCCGAACTTCGTCTGCCTCTGGAGCTCATTTATTTTAGTGTACAGAAAAGGCCAAAGGGATTCTTCCAGATTTGAGTTACTTAAGTGGAAAAAGAAAAAGATTAAAGAAGATAGAACTAACAACAAGACTGAAAGAGCACTCTGTAATTTAGTCATGATTGTGGAAGCCCTCAGTGGTCTGGCAAAGTATGATATGGATGATATCTTTGTAGTTTTATATACACGGATCTCAGTCTGGACACTGCTCCCTCAGCAGCACCTCGAGCCAGGATCAAACCGTCCAGTCAGATGTGTTTATTTCAGTGACAACAAAAGGAAAATCTCTTTTTTTCACCTCAGATTAACAGTTTAGTGCTTTGTTCATTGAGTTAGAGGAAATCTATGATGTTTTTTAATCCCTTGTGATACTTTTTCCTCTACATTTTTCTTTGTAAGCTGCGAGCAGTTGGCCGGTTTCACTTTGTG